ATTGGGCCAACATATCAATCATATCATTCTATATAAAATATGCATTTTTTTCTTTTTTTTTGGGGGGGGTGTGAACATTATAACTCGTAGAATCTTTGCAAAAATGCAATGAATATAAATTTAACTAAGAAAGTCTTCAAGCAATTGAAATGCAACACAAGGAGAGACATCTCAACCATATAACAAGTTTTCACACAAATTTATTTCAATGAGGCATAGTTGTCCAATCATGTGTTGGAATAAGACTACCTCAATTATACGAGGGAGATGTTAGAATTCCCTGCTAACACATAATTTTTTATATGAAACAACTTGAGGTGCAACACATCCACAGTGATGGAATTTATGCAATCACATGGAGGATAGCATAGGCAACTCTGCAAGATCCATGTCCATTTCATGATCTTCAACTGGCATCTCTTGTGGACACAAAGAAGGCTTGGGAGGCATCTGCAAGAGTTCAACATTCCCTTCGAGCATCTCTACAACTTTGTTCATTGAAGGACGGTCACCGGGATTCATTTGTATGCACCATAAAGCAACTATTATCATTTTCTTTACCATCATTCTTTCCTCCTCGGTGGTCTCACCCATTTCTATGTCCCTCCCTTCTCCAGATTGGTCATAGACCCACGAAGGAAAGTAAATTTGGCTTGTATGATCTGCAAAGACATTCAAATTTCTCCTCCTGCCTGCCATTTCCATCAGTAACATTCCAAAACTATAAACATCAGCTTTATATGAAATGCCTCCAATGTTCTTATAGAAAAACTCCGGAGCCATGTAGCCCATTGTTCCTCTTGCTGCAGTCAGTGACACAATGCTATCATTTATTGGATACAATTTTGCGAGCCCAAAATCAGAAAGTTTTGGAGTGAAATTCTCGTCAAGAAGAATGTTATGAGGCTTGATGTCAAAATGTAAGATCTGGATGTCACAACCTCGATGCAAATATTCAATCCCACGAGCCACTCCAAGAGAAATCTCGTACATTTGCGTGCAACTTAGGTGGACATTTCCTTCTTGAGAAAAAATGTATTTTTCAAGAGACCCATTAGGCATGAACTCATATACTAGAGCGCGCTTAGATCTCTCTACACAAAAACCAATTAGCCTGACCACATTAATGTGATGAATCCTTCCGATAGTGGCAACTTCATTGATAAAGTCTTGCCCATTAGCTTTGGATTTATCCAATATCTTTATTGCTGCAGGATGGCCACTTCGAAGCATTCCTTTATACACACAACCATAGCCTCCTTCACCCAACTTATCCTTGAAACCTTTAGTCATTTTTTTAATGTCCAAGTAAGAGTACATAATAGGCATGAGATTATTCTGACTTCGAAGAAAATCCTCAATGTTGTCGAACATAGACAAATGCCTTCTCCTAAACTTATAGATTAAAAACACAAACATAAATGCCATCCCAAATAAAGCTCTTCCTGCGAGGCCTAGTACTGTATGAGAAAATTGGAAGTCAGAACCTGCTTTAGGTTGGACGAAGGAGGCCATATTGAATTTGGCGTAAGTTCTTTATACTAAGGATTAATTAATGTTCATTTGAACACAGAAAGAAGTGAGTGAATCCCAAAAGTGACAAAATTTAAGAATTGTTCGGTAATTTTTTACTATTTTGGATAAATTATAAATACGACTTTTCAGATTTGTTTAAAATATAAATTGTTTCTTATAATTTTAAAAATTACATTTCGTTTTTTCAAATTTCTAATTGCATGACAAATGACCTATTTTATTAATAAATTATTAAGTCAATTAACAATTTTTAATGAAGACATAAATATATTTCAATTAACAATTCTAGTAATTTTATTGTTATATAGAAAAGTAATTAGAAAATTTTATTTTTTCGATTAATTTTATTAAATAAATTTTATTGATAAGGAGATATTTATAATTTCTAAAATCGCAGGACCAATCTGCCTAGTATTTTTGTGTCTCTTGGTCTCTCCTATGGTTCAACGTAAATTTAAAAAGATTTAAAGTGAGCTAAATGATCTTCTGTTAATTTCATGTATTTTATTTAGAAAGATTTATAATATTTTTATTCATTTATATATATATATATATATATATTGTTACCATAAATAAATTTTGAGGGAGAGAGATATAGATCTCCGTACCTGTGTAGGAAAGCAAGTTGACTAGCGCTGCAGAAGGAAAGCAAGTTGACTAGCGCTGCAAGATAAAAAGAAAAATGTTAGGAACATCAAGCGATTTATTAATATTTTCATCAAATATGCCATATGCTTGTGGGTTCTATCATTACTCAGATAAAAATAATGATATTTATATGAAGATTTGAGTTATCAGAGGCAGTGACAGAGAGAAATGAAAGAGTGCCCAATATAATTAACAAGGGTTAGGCTAATTTGAGGGGCTGTGAGGTTTCTTACGGTCCCATTTTGATAATATCAATCGTTTATTTTATAATGTTATTTATATATTATTATATAAAAAAATTAAGTCAATATGAAAATTACAACTTTTTTATTTTTATTTTATCTTATTGTGTTTGTCTCCACAAAAAATACATAATCTATTTTAAAAAACATATTTGTCATTTATTTTTTTGAGACAAATTTAATAAAATGAAAAAATTATAATTCTCGGATCAACTTAATTTTTTCACGAATGATATAAACTAAAAACTCTACAAAATTAATAGTTCAAGTCATTAAAACGAAACTCGTACTTATTCCCATGGCCCCTCAAGTCAAGTTTCAATTTGAAACTTGAGAAAAATGTAACCTAATTTACAAAGTGTGTTTATATATTAATGCAATGAAACCTCCTTGAACTTTTGGAGGAAAACAAAAAACAAAAAACAAAAAACAAAAAACAAAACAAACAAAACCAGCAACACATTTTCTTCTTATATTAAATTGGAGTTTTTTTACCCCCCCAAAAAAATAAAAATAAGTAAAATTAAAAGAAAGCATAAATTTAAATTTTGTATGATTAATTGTTTTGTTATTAATTAGATTTGAAACTATAAAATAACAACACCATATTTTTATATATTTGAATTAGATTGTAATGATTTCTTTATAATCTAATCTATCTTAACTAAATTTAATATACAATTGGGTAAATTATAAATACACCCCTGAGGTTGATGAAAATACGAACTACCTCCCATGGTTATGAAAATTGCATCCCATTCCTTCAGGTTTTTAATCGCATAACTAATTAATGATTCATTTTATGAATAATTCATTAAGTTAGTTAATAGTTTTTAATGATGTTAAAAATATATTTCAATTAACAATTCTAGTAATTTTATTATTGTATAAAAGTGTACTTGAGAATTTCCTTTTTTCTATTAATTATGTTAAATAAAAATTTCTAAAAATGAAATATTTATAATTCCTAGAATCACAAGAGACAATTTGTATCTTAAGTAAAGCTCAAGAGGTATATTTGTAATTTACCATATATAATTTTAGTGAGTATAGCAAACCTTGTAGGGATGAACTCCCTTCCATAACTTCATCTCTCCATACCCCCCTCATGGGCCCTAATTTATACCCACATCCATCATCTGAACCATTTATTTCGTAGACCCCACAATAAAAGTTATTTATGAAAAAGATTAATTTCATCGAATGTGTATAAACATAAGAACAAATCAAATTTTATTTTGTAAAATGAACAACAAATATGATTGTAAATTTAAACTAGTCATTTTATAAAACGAAATGCGATTTGTTCCCGTATTTATAGTTATCCAATAAAACTGATTTTTTACATGGATAACCATTACCGTGAGGCTTACTAAGTAAATAGTTCGAATCATTTGTGTGTGCCGAATTTGTTGGCTCCATAATTAAACCATCTAGTTAGAAGGTGACTTGTGGCAAGTAAGGGTAATTATGTAGATGCCCAAGCCATTAAAGAACCCGGCCTCTTAAGCAAATTTCGTGAACAACAGATGCAAGTTCTAGCAGTTGAAAGGTAGTTATTCAACATGTGAACAACACAAGGAAATAAGTTATCGAGACGGTTAGCGGTTTTGCACACACAAAGAGAAGAATTGATCTTAAGAAGTAGCTACAAGAAAAGAGATCATGGTAAGGAAAAGCAGCTCAATTGCTTCAAAGGCCAAAAGAAGATTATAAATAGATAAAAGCAAAGATGAAAAGGCCCCCCGAACAAATCCAGACTCTACGGCTTTGTCATTTCTTTTATCTTTAAATTTTAGCATTGCACTTACTTTTCATAGGACTAGAATAAAGTAACTCTTGTATTTTCAGAATTTGACCTTCAATGATGCCCTTACTAAAGGTAACATTTTGTAATTGCATTATTCAATTAATCAATTACATTTTCTATTTAGTCTCTTCCTCTCATTCTGTTTCGAATTCAAGTAATATTGCATTGGTTCTTAATAAAACACAACCAATAACATCCTCTTCATTAAGGCTAAAAGAATCTAATCACAATTGCCTAATAAGTAAATTGACTTATAAATTCTACAAGGGTTTTTCCGATCCTTACTGGTAGGAGAAAATTACATATTTATCTTTCGAAGTGTCAAAATAGCCAACATATAGTTTTTTGGCACATCCAATGGGACACTTTTTGTGTTGAAATATGGTAAGAACATGACGCCAAGAAGAAGAACATGTAGATAATGATGTTGATGTTGATATTGAGGTACAAGAAGAGGGTCTTTTGGCCTCGAAGAGAAGAAGTAGCAGACCCTCCCTCTACTTCTAGCCAACAAGAAAATGGCCAAGTACGTGTAGAAGAGAATCCTTATCCAAGGATTAAGACACAACCTCAACATATTGGCCAACTACAAGGTCAATCTTATGAAAAAGCACCTTTCCAAGGCCAAACACTTGGCCAAAGTAGTAGAATTAGAAGTGAACCACTATTATTTAGTCCTACCATGTCAAATGAACAGTGGATTGGAATAGTGTCCATGATAAGTCAAATAATGGCTACAACCTTTAGGAATTAGTCTCATTCTTTTGGTGCATCAATCATTCAAAAGATTGATAATAGGCTAGAAAATGTAGGTCTTATTCCAAATGATGGACATAAGAATCCTGTTCAAGTAATAACCCAACCTACACCATCTTTTACTAACAACTAAAGCAATGGTGACAATAAGGGAAGAACCACACAATCTTTTTATCAGCCTATTAGACCAGCTCCACCAATTGGTTTGGGGATTTATCATAGATTGTCTACTACTGAAGAGACAAATGTTGTACAAGTAGAGCCTCAGGTTACACCTTGAAGTGCACCTAGTAATCCTACCTATGGATATACACAAGCACGAATGAATAATACTACTAGAATGGTGTCAAATCTAGTTTTTGAACCTACACTCGAGGGGGTTGGCAGAGCCTTTTAGACCACCACATGTTGTTCTTAGGGAAGAAGATGTAATAGGATATGAACAACCACCAAACCCTACTGTGTACCACATGGATCGAATGACTGCATCTTTTGTTCAGCCAGTGCCAAATATGTAACCCCATGCTCATAGATAACAAATCTATCAAGGGTATGGCCAATAATAGATCCTAGTACCCAAGTGGTGGCCCAACCTATTATTCCAAATGCTATTCATACAAAACAATTGTTGAACATGCTGTAAGAAATATGTGGTCCTATGACTCGAGGGGTGCAAACATCAGTATACAGAAAACCTTACCCTGATTGGGTGGATAGGTTGCATGAGTTCCCAAAGGGCTATAAAGTCCCAAATTTCACTTTGTTTCGAGGGGATGGGAATCGATCAACTAGAGAACATATTGCTAGGTTCACAAGGCAAAGTGGGAAATATACAAATCATGATTACATGAAGCTTCGATTATTCCCTAGTTCATTAATTGGCCTAGTATTTGCTTGGTATATTATCTTACTTCTTGGTACTGTCCAAACTTGGCAACAGATGGAAGAAATGTTCTATGCCCAGTTCTTCCAAACTGAACCAGAAGTCTCAATAGATGACCTACCAATATTGAGCCAAAGACTAGATGAGAAGGCTGCCCAATTCATAGTTAGATTTAAAAGGGCTAGGAATAGGTGCAGGGTAGTCCTTCCAGAGCCTGAATTTGTTAGGTTGGCTCAGAATGGTCTAAAATTTACACATAGGAAAAGAGTTTGATGCAATGGACTTCACATACCTAGTTAATTTAACGTATAAGGGGACTAGGTATGAAACTCTGTTAGAGGAAGAACAAAATATGAATAACTCTTCATATTGGACTTATTATAAAGATCCTAATTTGGAAATTAATGTTACAAAGATTGTAGGCAAATAACCATATACATGTGACACCTTAATTAAGAAGGAAACTACAATTGATCGTCAGTTTAAAAAGAAAAATTTTCATAGAACATATTTTTTTGATATTTCTAAAGTTGATGAAATATTTAATCATTTGTTGGCAACACAATTTTTAAAACTACTAAAAGGAGTGGTTATGCCCCTTTCAGATGAATTGAAGGGTAAAATATATTGTTAATGACATAATACTTGGTTTCATTTAACTAAACACTGTATTTTTTTCAAGACAGGATTTAAGAGCAGATCTGGGAAGGCAAGGCTGAGAAGGCAATGGGGATTGACAAAGATCTCTTTCTAGAGGTGCATGAAATGTAAGCCAATGTTGGGGTTCCAAATTCTATCATCCAGGCATTGGAATGAGGTTTGTATCTAGGAGAATTGGATGTCTTAGATGTCCAGATGAATGAAATAAAACAGGAGATAGCTTCAAAGGAACATAATCCATCTCAAAAATAAAAAGATGTTAGCATTTCAGATGGCCAGAAACAATTTGATTGCTCAGTAGCTGTATGTTCTTTAGAGACATCAACTGTACAAAGAATTTGTCCCAAATGCAGAGTCAGCTACAATGGATGGCTGGAGTCCCTGAGAAGGTTGAGAATAAAAGTAATAATTCAAGACATGTGGTTCGAACGTTTAGTGGCATGTAGGAACGAAACTATGCTCCATATTATCCGATGTCCTTTTATGAAAAGACATCTTCGACCAAAGGTAGGGGCACTAGAGGCTCATTCAAGAGTAGGAATCACAAAGATACAAGAGCAGACTTACTTTTCCAGTCTCATAGGGAAAGGAGTTTGAGAGAAGTCTAGAAGTTGGACCCTCGAAGACTAGCACTTC